AGTTTGACCATTCTAAAAACATGTCTTTCCAAAAGGAATTAGTTGAAGAGGGAATTATTGCATTTTGTATATAGTAGCTATCCGTTAGTAAAAATTGAGTCTTGATATTAAATTGACTGGTGAAAAGAAACGTATATGTATATATGTGCGAAAAAAGTATACTGTAAAGTATACTATATATACTATAAAAAGCGATGTTGTTATGTGTGCTGTGTTATAATGGCTCTTTTCACCGATTCATGCGTTAAAAAAGTTGTTTTTATTTAAAACGTCAAACAAACGGGTTGTGAATATTTATGGTCCCCACTGTCTGTGCTTGTCAATGGCGCCACGACAGTACAGTGTATGGAAACCCGTTTGGGACAGAATCGAGACGTGCAACATAAGTGCCGGTGCGAGCAGTAAGGGATAAGAGTAACCAAGTGACAGTTTATATTGGAATAATTAATAAAACTGCAGCTTCGACCTTCCTCGTTACTAGTCAACGTCTCTCGTGTAGCCGATACTGAACATACAATAGCTTTTGATTCAAGTTAATACAGTGGAATTGTGGGAATGCGTGACGTCATCTTTTCTTGGGAAATCCGAGGACATTTCAGAAACTACTACTATCCTGTATCTCCATGCATAGACAGCGTTAGGACAGTTAACTGGTGGGAAGTTACATGTACTCTGGTTACAATGCGTGTTTGATGACAGTTAAATAGAAAGGTAAATGTGATTCTATCTTTATTATTCTTTATAGGTGGAATATATTTTATAATTGGAATAGTTATTTATAACCATAAATTCTTTTTAATCTGTAACATACTCAGTATTTTTATAACCTCTTAATATATTGTATTGTGATGAATATTCAACGTTTTGGGATCCAGGGGGAAGCACTAGTATTATATTGTTTCTGTTTAGATTCTGCAGCGGGCAGTAGTGTGCTACTTAGACTAGGAGTCAAAAGAAATTTTGAAGCTTTTAGATTAGCATCGATCTATCCGTCATGGTGTTATTCAGCATGTGACAAACTCTTGAAGTTCTAAAAGAGACATTGAATTAATTTATAATGCCGCTACACTACGTGCTGTGAATGTGGTGACACGAACAATAATTTGATTTTATTTGTAAACCATTAGTTAATTGTTTGTGTTGTATTTTGACATTAAATTCTCTGGTACAAATTTCTGCATCAACTTAGTGTACGAATTCGATAGAGTAAGTTAGTGAGTGTCGCGCTGCTTTTGGCACGATTCCAGCAATATCGTGGCGGGGGACGCCTAAATGGACTTCACATATAGTAACCATATGGGGAATGGAACTTCTGTATTGCAAGTGATATCACTTGTTTCATACCGGTGTTAGTATCTACACCAAACCGTCACATTGCAATAAAGAAGTTGACTATCCATAGAATTGGTTTTCCTTCATCTTTACAACTTCTAAAATGCCCCTCCAAGTAGTTAATCATTACCAAACTGTCAACATATTTTGCCATAGACAAGCTCCTCTGCGCTCAGATAAACAAGGAAACACCTCAACAGCTATTCGCCTGAAGGTCTCGGTGTTAATCCTATACACATGGTGGTTCTCAATACATATTCAAAGCCTCTACGCTTAGTCAGTGACATTAGAAAAGCGAGGTTATGAAGATATTTGTATGGTAGCGCAATGATCATTCAGGGACGCTTTTATCATTCAAATATCCTGCATTAATCAAACGAACTACAGTTTCATTGTCATGTCAAAAGGTGTTTTTCTTCGAGTGTAGACGTGCCCAAATCTGAACAATGTCACTATCTATAAGTAGGACTACAATGCTAGCTTGTACAGACCGTGTGTTGTCGAGCTGGCAGGTGGCGGTAGTGTTGCATGTACATCTAAGGTAAGCTGTTCATATTTCTGCCATTTTGTTATTACATGTTCTAGTTCTGTAACAGAAAACTTTAACTGACATATAGTTCGTAAAGTGTTTTAAAATAAGGAGATGGGTCGGTTCTTTATTTGATTTTGTATCTTTGCCAATACCAGATCTGTCCTTTTGTTGTACGGACTATATATGTTACAGGGAATGTGTGAAACCAGGGATTTCACGTAATCCCTGAAAGAGTCAGTGATTTCATGAAATCCCTGTGACCCCTAGGGATTTCATGCATTCCCTACAATTTCCAGGGATTTCATGAAATTACTGAAATATTAGCTTCAGTAGCACATTAAAACATTTACAAGGTATCGATTTACACTGGTTAGGACAACGGTTACATTTATGGAAACCCTGACCACCACAATTCGACTCGAAAATCACAGCTGTGTGGAGAAACAGTCCACTGTCACATTATTCGTAGAAAGAAGACGCTGAGGACATACATGAAATATGTGCTTTGAAAAATACCCTTTCCTTCCCGAACCCATATCCCAAAGCTCTTCTTCAACAGCGGGATGATGTATATTCCAAGTTGTTTCTATGAATGGCCTAGTCTGTTTAAAGGTAAATGTCTTTCTTCAATAAAGAAAACGAATGATGCTATATCACTGTAAAATGTTGAGCCATTCCGTACGGAATTATGAGAGACATTTGTGCCACAATAGTAAAAATGCAATAATAAGGGTACAAGTTACATTTAAGAAGTTACATACAAATTTGCAGTACACTTTTTAAGAATATTAAGGCAGGTTTTGACAGATAAAAACGATACACCTGGACAAGCTAGAAGAAAACTAACTTTTTAAACATTTAAAAAAAAAACATCTAAAAGACTTGTACATTTAGATAAAAGTTGCAATCGCTGATCAGCATACAAAGGACAATGCAATAAAACATGACACTCATCTTCAATCAAATCTTTACAGTTTCGATTCTTAGCAGCGCTACCGCACATCTAAACAAATCTAGTGCTTTTCTCATAATGCGAGACATTACAATTAACATACAAATCACACACATATATCAAAGGAAAAGGTTACACACATATACATCAAAGGAAAAGATGACACACATACATCAAAGGAAAAGATGACACACATACATCAAAGGAAAAGATGACACACATACATCAAAGGAAAAGATGACACACATACATCAAAGGAAAAGGTGACACACATACATCAAAGGAAAAGATGACACACATACATCAAAAAGGAAAGGGATGACACACATACATCAAAGGAAAAGATGACACACATACATCAAAGGAAAAGATGACACACATACATCAAAGGAAAAGATGACACACATACATCAAAGGAAAAGGTGACACACATACATCAAAGGAAAAGATGACACACATACATCAAAGGAAAAGGTGACACACATACATCAAAGGAAAAGATGACACACATACATCAAAAGAAAAGGTGACACACATACATCAAAGGAAAAGATGTACACGCAATGCACGCTCCGTGTGAAAGACTGGTGAACTTAAACAAAAACTATTGACTTAAATGTAACAGAGTAATGATGTATTCATGAACCTTTCCACAGATCCTCATAATTAGAACAAAATACACGGAGGCTGGAATACTTCCTCTGTATCGTAATTGCAAACTGGACATAATCTTTGGTAGCAACTTACAAATTTCTCCTTCCATTATTTTTTTTCTCTCCGTGTTCAAAGTTTGGCTTTAAATAGTAAAATAAATACGCCTATAATTTCTCTCAGGAAGCATAAGGGGAAATTGCATTAAGGAGACTGAGAGTGCTTGTATTTAGAGAGAAGACATATTATAAAACAAAATATCCTTCTATATATTAAGATAGGAGACTGTCTAATATATCCAACCAAACATAATATCATTAGAATTATGTAGGGAAAGGGATATTATTAGGGGGCTGTGTTGCGAACACGGTTGTGCAATACACCTTATATGCCCTTTATAGGTAATCTGTCTTTGTGCATGGGAACAAATTTAAGCCTTTATTTTTTGTGCTCAATGAAGAGTTTATATAGTTAGTTGGGAAGGCAGCGTGATTCTCCTTACACTGTTCCGTTTGGAATTTGTAATTCGACATTCCGGAACTTTATACAAGTTAGCAAATGGATTTTTTCAGTTTATCTTCATTTCCTGAAGGATGTCTACCACAGATATGTCCACCCATATAATACCTAAAGGTAAGCTTTTATGCTTATATGAAGGTTACAATCTCTCCGACATCAGTCAAATGAAGAAAGGGTTTCTTAACTCTCTGCGTGACACATGATTTAGGCAAAGGGGTTAATTAATGTACAAGGGCACTGCATGAACATAATTATTTCGAACGATTTTACATATTCTATCTTCTTTTTTTATTCCAATCTATCTACCTTTTTCTATTAACAAATCATGGGATGAGCAGCGAAATTTTGCAAGCGTGATTCTATATTTCCGAACATTCAAAGATGATAAATAGGTTTCACTGTATATAGACTGCTTAAACATTATGCAATATAAACATTTATTTGATACAGATAATTGGTCAAGCCAATTCTGGAGATATCTTGTAACCTTTGTTTAATGGATATGAGAAACTTTGGATGCGAGTCTATCCACTGCCCAAGGCATATATTACCAAATATTAAATGCTTAACATCTGTGACCCGATTACGTTTTCCATTTCTATCGCACAAAATCACCATATCACAACATTGTCGGGGTAATCTGTAGGATGGCATATTTAAGATTTTTAACCAATATTTTACTACTTTCATTTTTGATTCAACCAATAAAGGACATCTACCATATTCACCATAAACCATTGTGTTTAAAGTAATAACTTTCACTCCGAGAAATCTTTTATTTGCATACAAGTGTCCTTTTTCTAGTATATCAAATGTTAGGAGTCAACAATCTCAGAACCATGTAGAAGTATGGGACTAATCTTAGCATCAAACATTCTAAAGAATGATTTGTGTGACAAGTCACCTAAAATATACATATATCTAATAATACCAATTGTATTTTCTTTGCTTGTATCGATGCATTTCTGGCATGTATGGACCACAGTAAGTGGTTTGTAAAATAAACTCCTAAGTATGAGTAAGACGTAATTGTTTCTAGCATTTCACCTTTGTAATACCATTTCTCGTTTGCAGCAAGTTTACCTCCATTCTTGACCACAATTATTTTAGTTTTATCTCTATGTACGGTTAGTTTCCATTCATTACAGTATTTTAACAATTCGTCTATTTCAGCTTGTTTTCCTACAATCGCCAGCGGCTGAAGGGATGGTGTAAATCCAACTAGGGTCCATGCAGGTAGCAAAGGGACTGTAAGTCCCCATGGACATTAGTAGGGTGATCTACCTTCAGTTGCTACTGATTTATAGCCCGTTTTTATATTATATTGTCTTGCATTATAGTATAGGTTTTTAGTTGCATGCTAGTTTTATACCTGAGTCCTCTATCTGTGATAAACTAGTAGTTTTACTGTTCATCGTAAATAGTTTTTTAGCTTCTTATATCATTGACCTTTGCTGATAATTAATTAATTAATCAATTGTTCTCGTCACGATATGGCTGAAATATTGCCGATGAAACGATAAATATCACCTCACTCACTCACTATTTCAGCTTGTAATGCTCGTATAGTGCTAGCCAAAAGAATGATATCATCAGCAAATTATAGAAGAAATAGCTGTGTTATATCGGGATGTAACTGAATACCATTTGAACAGTTTTCATGAATCTGTATTGCTAGCCCATTGATAAAGAAAGAAAATAAAAATGGGATCAAAATACAACCTTGTCTTACTCATAGTTGACTCTCAAATGTTTCAGATATTTCATTATTGTTTCTCACACACATCTTTACGTTAGCATAAATAATAAATGAAGTGTATTTATTTTACTGCTTAAGGAATGATTATCTGGAAGATTCCATATTTTTTCTCTTTGTACGAGTCGAAAGCCTTTTTCCAAATCTACAAAGAGAACATAAAATTTTGTACTTTTCTTATTTAAGTAGCTCTGTATAGGTGAATGGAAAACAAATATGCTGTCAGTAGTAGTATATCCTTTCCTTAAAGCAGCTTGGAATTTTATTATCTTATCAAAGGATTCTGCCCAGAATACTTAATGTTTATTTATTTTGGCAGTGAATAATTTATTGAATACACTTAGAAGAGTAATGCCCTATAATTTTGAGTTTTTGTAATTTTCACCATGCTTATGAATCAGTATAATGATACCAACCTACCTTAAATGTGGAAAAGCCCCATTCTCAACATTGACAAAAAACTAAAATTCAAGATACGGGAGTAGAATATCTAATAAGTGTAGCAAAAATTCTGGGATAGTATCATCTATTCCGGGTGATTTGTTCAGTTTCAAGTGTCTTTTACTATTTAGGATTCCTTCTCAAGTTATTGGAGCGTCATGTATGTCATTTGTCATTCAGTTATATGACATCTTTGATAATTATTCTCATCGCACTGGCTGTCAGAATGGTTATCCATCATTAATTTTAGATGTAGAAAATAATTCTTTAAAATACGAATAGTATTCGTTGATCTGAATGTCATTTGTTTGGCTTGCTTCCCCATTCAAACGTTTCAGAGAAGAACAAAACTGTTTAGAAGTGTTGACACTATTTTCTAATTGTTTTCGTTTCAATTTGAAAATATTCACTTCGTTTTTGTTTACAAACGGCATTATACATATTTCTAATGCAATGGTAATCCTCTTGACTCTTGAATACTTTCTAAGAACATATTTCATCTAAGATATAGTTGCAGGCAACGATGAGGTCTCATTGGCTTTACTTTCTATCTATTGTATCTGAGGGCTAAACATCATCGTCCAAAACGGAGCCAGAACACGTGTTTTGACAGGCGAGCGGATCTCCCAAATACAGCCGGGGTCACGGGGGTGATGTACCTTTTAAGAAGTTCCGCAGAAGATATAGTTCCCTCTTTAAAAGGCTGTATCTTAGTTGTTCTTGGGTCTACGTTCAAACCAATTAGTGTCCTGGAATCACCAAGGCACCATCTACCATACTGGCACTCTTTGTGCAGAATGTGCACATTTTGGGAGCAAACTACTCAGAAAACTGCTGAAAAACATGGCCAAAAACTGAAAACAAAAATAACTGCCAAACGGTACGTTTTAGCGACTTGACCCGTCCAGGCAAAATTGTTGGGAATTTGATTGTGCATCTGTACAAGAAAGTTGGAAGTGTTGGAACAATTAGTTCTTGAGATATTTGCTGTCAAACGTTGAAAGTTTGGAATTAAAGGTCACATGCAACCAAAAAATCAAACATAATTAAAACACAAGTATCACTTATTCATGACATATAATATACATTGCTGGTAAACAAAATTATAAGCGTACAATCGCAAATCAAAAGTGCAATATTGTGTACTTGGGTTTACTTCCCAAGAAACGAAGCAGCCGGGATACCGAACCCAGTCAGAGCGGGTCGGTGTGCACTCAAGTGTAACGGTTGGTTCATTGCAGATGCCCTCACGGCTTATTGTGTGTGTATATATAGAGATGTTGTGTTTTGTAAATACATGCTCATTTTTTGTGTATAACATTTTGCAATCAACAGACATCATAACATGTCATGTGTTCAAGTATCACACCTGCCTGTCTGTGTAATTACATAATGTGACAGAGACCGAACTCGGGCCATAAATCAATGCATTTTGTTTATGGTGTATAGCCTGATTGGTGTTAAGTTCAAATTGCATGTGGTCAGTGATAGCAGCTGTGTATTGAATATTGTCATTAGCAGACAGGCAGACAGACACACAAGTGTCAATAAACCAAGACATTGAGTTTTGTCTGTGACAACGACATATCTATATCACAGTTAGAAATTCTGTCAACGCTAAATAATGACATTGCTTTTAAGTATCGAATTGAGAAAGTGACTCGGTAAGGAGAACGTGTGGTGAAATAGACAAATGAAATTATATAAAGAGTTAATTTACTGTCATAACATATAAAAAGCTCGCGCCTGTGAGATATCAACAAAACATTAGAAAAATAACTCACACCAAAGCCTTCACCAAGTATTCACCGGACAACCCGCTTCCTAGCTGCGCGAACCTATTTCACTGCGCACGTGCTTTGAGCGCAGCCCAGCTGTTGAAACCCGTTTTCCGCCGAAAAGTCGGGGGAAAATTAGTGAAACGTTTGATCTCCGATTTCGCTCGGTTTTTTTCATCGCGTTATTTTTCAACTTTATAAGTTGAATTTGCATTTTTGACGATTTGTTTCGGTAAGTCCATACCGAAAGGTATCAGAATCTGCAAAGTTGTGTTTTACGTTGCATGTGACCTTTAATTTTGAATTATCTCCCTCTTGCTATTGGACCAAGAGCCTAGAGATTTTTAAGGGGAATATCTACAACTCGGTGCGAATCTGTGTGATTTTTGGTAAGCGATTCGGCGCATTGGTTTAGGAATTATGTTTGGTACAAAAATAGGCGGAATAATAAATAATAATAATAATAATAATCTCAACGATTACAATAGGTCTCCTGCTTAGAGGCAAGGAGCCCTAATAACTCAAGATTATCATAATCCCAAACACATCTATACTACAGTTTCTCAGTTGATGAATGGTGAGTGTGAAGCGCATGTAACTTCATAGTAAGAGGAAGATGGTGGAATTCTGTGCGGGAAGGGACACAAAGTCAAACACACTGTCAAAAATCGACGTTGAACTTATTATATTATCTACTACACTTCTTCGATTATGACCAATAAATGTAGGATCGCCTATTTCTGTATCGGATCCACATCGTCCATTCATTATATGAATACTGAGAACTAAGCATAGGTCTAACAAGCCCTTGCCATACACATCTACAATTTCGTCTGTTGAAATTTTTTTTATGTTAAAATAAATAAGAAATCCCACATTCTGTGGTTTTGCCCTTCTGTATGATTGATGATATCATCCTCAATGAAATTGGGTTCTGTACCTGTAAGCGCATTAAACTCCATTCCGCACAAAATACGTACATCTGACATATTTGAAAAAACATCTTATAAACTGTCTTGGAAAAGACTTATGCCATTTTTGCAGTATAAGACTGGTTTGTTGTAGAAGGTGGATCTCTCTGGGTGGATATATGTACAGGTATACCGTAGATCTAGAATAAGATTAAAAACTCTTCAAAAAGAGAATAAATATTGCATTTTCTGTTATATTTAAGGTAAAATGTATTTTTTTAGCTTTTTTCTTACCATGACAATTATTCTACCCGAAAGTCTCCCACTTGACGATATCGTCTCTGCTTGTTTACTGTATATTTCATAGTCTGGGAATGTATCTCCTGAGTCACATAAACCAATAGTACCTCATTTGTTAATAAATATAACTAACAAAATCATTGTCACTTAACTTGCAGTAAATACCTGCAATATTCCAAAATAAAAAAGTTAAAACATCCACCTGTTATACTCCAAGATTCAGTGTCAGTATCTCTATGCTGAGGCGTAATATCACCGAGACCCTGGCCGGCTACCTATCTGGTCTGTCACTCGTTATGGGGCTGAGAGCTTGACCTGAGCACAGGCTCTCTCCGATCTCCAGATGGTGATCTTCTTGACTCTGGGTTCCTGGTTCTGCCGTCCGGGTTCGAATCTTCTTTGGGTTCTTCAAGTATCCTGCTATCTTTGTAGTAGTATCGTATAGTTGGGTTTTCTATTCTAAGTCTCAGTAGTTTTTTTCGCTGGTGCTGTGTTAAGTCATTGGCTATGCCAGTTCCTTTCTCCTTGGGTGTAACAGAGGTATTCGTAGATGGTAACGCAATGACGACGAATACTTGTGTAGGTTTTTAGGGATTTATTCCGGAACTGGTAGCGTGGGATATGAAGATCCCCTGTTGGAATCCACATAACTGAACAATAACAAAACGCCCTGAATGATAAGATATACATCAATTACATGTCTCTCATATGTGCAATACATATGAAGTTATACATTCCATATAGTTACCATAGTGACCATGCCATTATATCAGTAATACTATCTAATAACAGCCAATCATCCAGATTTAAGCAAAGACATATACTCTAATTATCACTCACATATAGGACAACTATAATTACGAATAGTTATGATCACATTCTAAAAACTATACCTCACCTCGTCTCAAGGACGCAGACAGAATAAGCCAATAACTTATATGAACATCTATTCTCGGTGAACCTAAATAAACAAAATATTGCCTAAGTATACTGCTAGTACATAGAGATATACATCATAAACGGCATTGGCGTACATATAAATAGTTATCTTATTGGTCCTAATATACACTTAAATATGATAAAACACTATTCCTTAAAACATGTAATCTAATACACTAAATCCTAATAGCCCTACTATACATGTAATACTGAAATATCTAACTTTACTTACCCAATAACGTGCTGGTGTTGAACTGTGATTGTGCTCTCAAGGAGAAAGATATAGACTGCCACAAGTGAAAGGCAGTAGAAAGCTTTAAATACCACGAGAAGGTCAGTGATAGCTGTCAGTGATAACATTTTGGAACCTAGGACAACAGGCCAATGCAGAGATTGAACCTGACACAGATCAGTTATCCTTATCAATAGACCCCAAGCTAGCTGCTGCAACCAGCTTACCGGTGGGTTAGTAAAACAGTGCAAGAGTAAGTGTTAACACAGGCCAGCTTGGTAATGATAAAGTTTTATACCTAAGTTTAAAATAATGAAGTTTAACACATTTAAATGACACATTTATTTACACACACTTACATGAGGACTTCTCGGAGCTTGACGGAGTGCCACTTATCCTCCAAGCGGCACACCCTGACAATAATGGGTCTAATTTTATCTTGCTTGGGGGAGGACAGTCTGTGTGCTCTCTTTATATCACGTGTCGTGAGAGGTGGGAGGTTCTTCGTTTCTCTAGCAGTGCTTAGAATTTCAAAGACTTTACTTTTACTCTCTGTATGATTCTTCTTCTGTGTCTCTGGTATTCCATTATTTCTCTGTTCTTAGTCTTCTATATATCCTAAGTCCTTGTAGCGAGTTTCCATACCATACGTCTTGTCCACTAGAGATGTTATATCGAGCCTCATTTCCTCTTGTTCCTCTTTAGTGGTCTTGATATTTGCTCGTAATTCACTTAACTCATCTTTCATTGATTTCACGTCCTCTCTAACAGCATGTATGTCACGTGACAATCTTTTCTCTGATTCCCTAATTTTCATGATCATAGATTTCCTCATCTCTTCGAGTTCCCTAGTTCCAGGCCCAGGGTTAAGCTCAACGTCACCAGCTCTATGAATCATGGGTGGTCAGAGTCAACATACAAATTTCATACTTGTCCGGTTTTCGTACTGTCCATAAACACAATGGTGGTGAGAAACTCTCACAAATCTCACCTGGGGGACACAGGCTGGGTGGTGGAATCATGTCTGGGGCTTTATGTTCTACGCAGGCTGGTGTAAGGGTACCTAGAGAGGTTACAGCTAATAGCAAAATCCCACACAACACAAGTCAGTGTCAGTCATAACTGGCGTCCAGTCCGAGTGGGGAGTGTAGGGTCGAAGATTTTCCACCTGCCTACAATCTCTCGGATGCACAAAAGTAAATTTTCTGGCCCTCTAGACTTCAAGGAGGATCCCCATTGTGCTTATATAATAGATTTAAGACAGTACAAGTGATAATATGGCTAATTTCTTTCATTTACATCAGACATTAAATTGACACGGTTCTACCTGCCAAGGGAGATAAATCGGGGAAGTAAAGTTCAGAGAAGTAAACATCAAAACTTATTGACTCCTTTTGAAGTGTTGATAACTATGGTCGCATGACGTTAACAAATGGAAGAAGATTGTGGACCAGATTTGTTATACTGCATGTACATGACATCAGGTTATCCGAGGTGTAAGAAAGATTTTTCTGTATTGAAAACAATAAATTGTGCCTTGACAAGGAAGTCTGGGACCTCCTCCAGACCTGACACACGAGGTTGGTGGAGACAATGTCACTTGTGAGGGCAGACCACTCTCCAGACCAACACAAAACTGTGTTGGAACTGTCACATGTTACAGAAATGTTCCTATCATGTAAATAACTGACGTGTTAAAACATAAATCCAGTTCTTGTGATCCTCTCTACACCCGCCATGCTGCTGTCAGTTCTTGTGATCCCCTCTACACCCGCGATGTTGCTGTCAGTTCTTGTGACCCCCTCTACACCAGCCAAGTTGTTGTCAGTTCTTGTGATCCCCTGTACACCCGCCATATTGTTGTCAGTTCTTGTGATCCCCTGTACACCCGCCATATTGTTGTCAGTTCTTGTGATCCCCTGTACACCCGCCATGTTGTTGTCAGTTCTTGTGATCCCCTGTACACCCGCCATATTGTTGTCAGTTCTTGTTATCCCCTGTTCACCCGCCATATTGTTGTCAGTTCTTGTGATCCCCTGTACACCCGCCATATTGTTGTCAGTTCTTGTGATCCCCTGTACACCCGCCATGTTGTTGTCAGTTCTTGTGATCCCCTGTACACCCGCCATGTTGTTGTCAGTTCTTGTGATCCCCTACACAAGCTTGTTGTTGAGTCCCCTTCTACACCCGCCATGTTGTTGTCAGTTCTTGTGATCCCCTCTACACCCGCCATATTGTTGTCAGTTCTTGTGATCCCCTCTACACCCGCCATATTGTTGTCAGTTCTTGTGATCCCCTCTACACCCGCCATATTGTTGTCAGTTCTTGTGATCCCTTGTACACCCGCCATGTTGTTGTCAGTTCTTGTGATCCCCTGTACACCCGCCATATTGTTGTCAGTTCTTGTGATCCCCTGTACACCCGCCATATTGTTGTCAGTTCTTGTGATCCCCTGTACACCCGCCATGTTGTTGTCAGTTCTTGTGATCCCCTGTACACCCGCCATATTGTTGTCAGTTCTTGTGATCCCCTGTACACCCGCCATATTGTTGTCAGTTCTTGTGATCCCCTGTACACCCGCCATATTGTTGTCAGTTCTTGTGATCCTCTGTACACCCGTCATGTTGTTGTCAGTTCTTGTGATCCCCTGTACACCCGCCATATTGTTGTCAGTTCTTGTTATCCCCTGTTCACCCGCCATATTGTTGTCAGTTCTTGTGTGATCCCCTGTACACCCGTCATATTGTTGTCAGTTCTTGTGATCCCCTCTACACCCGCCATGTTGTTGTCAGTTCTTGTGATCCCCTCTACACCCGCCATGTTGTTGTCAGTTCTTGTGATCCCCTCTACACCCGCCATATTGTTGTCAGTTCTTGTGATCCCTTCTACACCCGCCATATTGTTGTCAGTTCTTGTGATCCCCTCTACACCCGCCATATTGTTGTCAGTTCTTGTGATCCCCTCTACACCCGCCATATTGTTGTCAGTTCTTGTGATCCGCTCTACACCCGCCATATTGTTGTCAGTTCTTGTGATCCCTTGTACACCCGCGATGTTGCTGTCAGTTCTTCTGATCCCCTGTACACCCGCCATATTGTTGTCAGTTCTTGTGATCCCCTGTACACCCGCCATATTGTTGTCAGTTCTTGTGATCCCCTGTACACCCGCCATGTTGTTGTCAGTTCTTGTGATCCCCTGTACACCCGCCATATTGTTGTCAGTTCTTGTGATCCCCTGTACACCCGCCATATTGTTGTCAGTTCTTGTGATCCCCTGTACACCCGCCATATTGTTGTCAGTTCTTGTGCTCCCCTCTACACCCGTCATATTGTTGTCAGTTCTTGTGATCTCCTGTACACCCGCGATATTGTTGTCAGTTCTTGTCATCCCCTGTACACCCGCCATGTTGTTGTCAGTTCTTGTGATCCCCTGTACACCCGCCATATTGTTGTCAGTTCTTGTGATCCCTGTACACCCGCCATATTGTTCTTGTGTGATCCCTGTACACCCGCCATATTGTTGTCAGTTCTTGTGATCCCTGTACACCCGCCATATTGTTGTCAGTTCTTGTGATCCCCTGTACACCCGCCATATTGCTGTCAGTTCTTGTGATCCCCTCTACACCCGCCATATTGTTGTCAGTATACCCGCGATGTTGTTGTCAGTTCTTGTTATCCCCTGTTCACCCGCCATATTGTTGTCAGTTCTTGTGATCCCCTCTACACCCGCCATATTGTTGTCAGTTCTTGTGATCCCCTCTACACCCGCCATATTGTTGTCAGTTCTTGTGATCCCCTCTACACCCGCCATGTTGTTGTCAGTTCTTGTGATCCCCTCTACACCCGCCATATGGTTGTCAGTTCTTGTGATTCCCTCTACACCCGCCATGTTGCTGTCAGCCATACTCAATGTATTGATGATGTATCGAGTGTTTTGTATCATCAGTGTAAGATGTGAACAATGTAGCTGTAAGATGAAGATGTCCGACCTGTGTACAGAGTTTACTTTGTGTTACAGCGACACCGACTCCAGCACAGAGATACACCCACGCAGACATTGACCTCCATGTCGCCTGCAGGGAGGGGTACCTGGCGGGGGTGAAGCAGATCCTGGACACAGGTCGGGCTGACGTCTTTTGTAGAGGCGATGTCGGGATAACACCGGTGATGGAGGCAGCATGGCGGGGACACAGAGATGTGGTGGAGCACCTAGTGAGTCACGGTGCTGATGTGTCACTGGTGGACGTGTATGGTGACTACATCCTTCACTACGCCTGTCTGAGTGGAGACAGGAAGACAGTGGAGTTTGTCCTGTCTCTGGACGGGGTTGACATCAACAGTAGAGGACGGTGGAGCAAGACACCGGTGATGTTGGCAGCACGGTGGGGACACAGAGATGTGGTGGAGCTCCTTGTGAGTCAAGGTGCTGATGTGTCACTGGTGGACGATGACGGTAACAACATCCTTCACTACGCCTGTATAGGAAGAGACAGGGGGACAGTGGAGTTTGTCCTGTCTCTGGACGGGGTTGACATCAACAGTAGAGGACGGTGGAGCACGACACCGGTGATGTTGGCAGCCTGGCGGGAACACAGAGATGTGGTGGAGCTCCTTGTGAGTCAAGGTGCTGATGTGTCACTGGTGGACGATGACGGTAACAACATCCTTCACTACGCCTGTCTGGGAGGAGACAAGAAGACAGTGGAGTCTGTCCTGTCTCTGGACGGGGTTGACATCAACGCCAGGAACAACTACGGAGAGACAGCGGCCGACTGGGCAAGAGACAGGGGACATCTGCAACTGGTGGAATTCCTGGTGTCACGTGGTACTCAGTGAAGTGAAGGTAGTGTTGGTGTAGACAGTGATGGAGGACATGTCGTTACTGACACTGGCGTGGTGTGTGCCGTTCACGTCGTCGCGTTGTTTATAATAAGGTGAAAATATTTGTTTCAGGAGAAATACAGCTTGTTAAAACATTTTCAGACATGTTGTCATGTTGTGTTTGGAACTTTGCATGGTGAGGTAAGGAAATTGTTGACTGAATTTAAATATATATAGTTGGTATGTGAATCCCGCATCTCATTGTATTTCACTGTTTAATTATGTGTCATAAGTTGATCATTAAATGTGAAACAGACAACAACAAACTGTTTGTTTACATCTCGCTGCACTCTGTGACCTCAGACTGAGACGACGTTGCCAGCTGACGTGGCGCCAAATGCACATTGACGTCACACTAGAGTTTACCACGAACCCAAAAGTAAGGCAGATAACTCTCAAAAGGTCCGACAAAATAGCTTTCAAAACCAACTGTCAAAATGGCAGTTGTGATATCGTTTCGAGACATTCTTGATGGCTTTGCCCAAAATATTTTTCCCAATGAACCGACTTTAAGACAAACGTGGTGTGGCTTTTAGTTTGGCCTCATACCCCCATTCGGTTACTTTTCATTCATTTCGTGAAAATATCGTGTCGATTTGTGTGTCAACAGATATCCGATGCTCCCATGGAATGGAATAAAGCTAATACCACCAGCAGGTCGTTCCGTGTACTGCGTGTCCGAGTTGCAGCAGGGAGAATAGAAGACGTAGATTGTATATTGATGTAGATTATTCCTGGTTGCAGGTTCCCCAGTTGTACCTTTTCACCATGATCGAAAAAATGGACTGTAAACAATTATTTTGTTTTTTTAAAAGTCCGCCAGACCGCTGTTGTCGGACAAAATGGTGGTCAAATGTCAGCTCATTCGTAACTACTCGCCTCTTGCCGTGACCTACAAGAAGACTCGTTCCTGTATAGAACGCCATTGTGAGAATCGTGGCAAACCAATCAAATTGGGCATTGTATGATGAGAAATGAGGTCAAATACTTTCTTGGCGATTATCGATTTTCAATATTATTTCCGTGATAGTAAAATACCTTGTTACTGATATTGTTAACGAAGTAAAAACCTTACTTAAGGTGACTTTCGTATTATATATTTTTAGGAGTTGGCCATGTTTGGAAATTCAGAGTTATTTTTCCTTGGAAATAGACCTTGACTATGTTCATCTCCGCGCCCGTTTGCGCTTAGACAAGGCCTAGTCGTGAACATAGCCATCGGAGGGGTAGGAGTCGCCATTGGGCTTGCCGGAATGAAACGAGTAGTTACGAATGCTGCCAGCTTACTGCAGCGCGATACGGATTGAATATTTGACGTTCCTCATTGGTCAGGTCATTTGTTTGATTGACAGGTGGTGATACATAACTCTGAACTTCGTCTCGACGTCTCGACGTGATAACCATTATTGGCATGAGTATATATAATTTTGAAAGTAACAAATAAACCCATTTAAATTGAAAAGGAGCCCAAGGGAGACCAGAGATTCAAAACCTGAGGAAATCTAGACTTGCTTCAGTTAGGACTTTAGCACTGCAGAGAGGGCGAGGCAGTAGGGAACATAATGTGGTTCAGGAGATGGACTAGGTGCTGCTCAGTGATGAGAGGGTGTCCTCCCACTTCACCTAATGTTTGTAAGCCTCACTGATGAGAGGGTGTCCTCCCACTTCACCTAATGTTTGTAAGCATCATTGATGAGAGAGGTGTCCTCCCACTTCACCTAATGTTTGTAAGCATCACTGATGAGAGGGTGTCCTCCCACTTCACCAAATGTTTGTAAGCCTCACTGATGAGAGGGTGTCCTCCCACTCCACCTAATGTATGTAAGCATCACTGATGAGGAGGGTGTCCTCCCACTTCACCTAATGTGTGTAAGCATCACTGCTTGTGGTAGCACAGGTCAGGGACGGACGGGACATCGTCATCATACGTAGCATCCTCAACGGCCAGACCTACAGGAATGACGTCCTTCAAACAGTGCTGGATCCATTCCTTCGTCGCCATGTGCATGTCATGTATTGTAATAGATCTATACTCACGCATCTAATATCGCCTATATTCAATACATCAGTGTGGAATGAACATGTCCTGTTGTTTGATTTTAGTCGCAGTCAAACTTCGGGGTATACTTAGGGGATAACTGTACTGTGTTTGACGAACTGGGGACGTATACCGGTGGTTATATTGCCGCAAATTTAGTTATATCGGCGACGCGTAAGCGCTCCATAATGACGTCATAAATCTTGTTACATGATCTAACAGTGTTGGATCAACAGCCCGTTGAGAGTTGTTTGAAGTAAACTTACAATTCAATTTATGATACTGTTCTGTCTTTGGCAACACAAATTCCATCCATTTAAAGGAATAGGGAATTTAACATACCTACGGCTTCTGTAAATGATAATGCCCTGAAAAACAGCGTTACCCCAATACTGTAGGGATACATTCAAAGGTTTTGATGAATCGGTGTTCAAATTGCGACCGTATATGCTGATTATACGTTCGGAAATGTATAGCATTGACCAATCAGAACTCGTGTTACATAGTAAGCTGAGTTAGAATTTCCTTTAGATGACACTACAGGACAAGTCTACAATACACTAGGACAGCACTACGATACACATTAGGACAGAGTCACTATACACTCAATGATATCATTGCAATATAAATACATACTAGGACAGCACTACGATACACATTAGGACAGGGATACAATACACTCAATGATATCATTGCAATATAAATACATATTAGGAAAGCACTACGATACACATTAGGACAGGGATATAGTGACTCTGTCCTAATGTGTATCGTAGTGCTGTCTTAGTATGATATCATTGCAATGTACATGCATACTAAGACAGCACTACGATACACATTAGGACAGAGTCACTATACACTCAATGATATCATTGCAATATAAATGCATACTAGGACAGCACTACGATACACATTAGGATAGGGATACAATACATTCAATGATATCATTGCAATATAAATACATACTAGGACAGCACTACGATACACATTAGGATAGGGATACAATACATTCAATGATATCATTGCAATATAAATACATACTAGGACAGCACTACGATACACATTAGGACAGAGTCACAATACACTCAATGATACCATTGCAATATAAATACATACTAGGACAGCACTACGATACACATTAGGACAGGGATACAATACATTCAATGATATCATTGCAATATAAATACATACTAGGACAGCACTACGATACATATTAGGACAGAGTCACAATACACTCAATGATATCATTGCAATATAAATACATACTAGGACAGCACTACGATACACATTAGGACAGGGATACAATACACTCAATGATATCATTGCAATATAAATACATACTAGGACAGCACTACGATACACATTAGGACAGAGTCACAATACACTCAATGATATCATTGCAATATAAATACATACTAGGACAGCACTACGATACACATTAGGACAGGGGATATAGATACAATACATCAATGAAATGTCTTAGTATGATATCATTGCAATGTACATGCATACTAGGACAGCACTACGATACACATTAGGACAGAGTCACTATACACTCAATGATATCATTGCAATATATATACATACTAGGACAGCACCACTATACACATTAGGACAGAGTAACTATACACTCAATGATATCATTGCAATATAAATACATACTAGGAAAGCACTACGATACACATTAGGACAGGGATACAATACATTCAATGATATCATTGCAATGTAAATGCATACTAGGACAGCACTACGATACACATTAGGACAGAGTCACTATACACTCAATGATATCATTTCAATATATATACATACTAGGACAGCACCACTATACACATTAGGACAGAGTTACTATACACTCAATGATATCATTGCAATGAAAATACATACTAGGACAGCACTACGATACACATTAGGACAGAGTCACTATACACTCAATGATATCATTGCAATATAAATACATACTAGGAAAGCACTACGATACACATTAGGACATGGATACAATACATTCAATGATATCATTGCAATGTAAATGCATACTAGGACAGCACTACGATACACATTAGGACAGAGTCACTATACACTCAATGATATCATTGCAATATATATACATACTAGGACAGCACTATTATACACATTAGGACAGAGTTACTATACACTCAATGATATCATTGCAATAAAAATACATACTAGGACAGCACTACGATACACATTAGGACAGAGTCACTATACACTCAATGATATCATTGCAATATAAATACATACTAGGACAGCACTACGATACACATTAGGACTGGGGTACAATACACTCACACTCTAGGCTAGGACTGCAATGCATATCTGGATTGTACTATGATATACGTTCTATGTGATAGCACATAGCTCTGGAAGGTACTACAGGGTAGGACAACACCAAGTGCCATTCCATTATTATCTGACCCAGGGACTTGAAGCATCTTCTGAAGTCTTATCCGTGGGTACCTTAGGGGACAACACCCTGCTTCACATCTCACATCACATCTCAGGTTACAAGAAGACCAGCAATTGTGTGGATATCATTCTTGATACTCAGCCTCGGCCATGGTTGCAGTGAAGTGAATGTTACCATCAATGTCTTTAGTGCAGTGTACATTGTCACAAAACACATTCGAATAGAACTGAAATACACTCTTGGATAGCACTGCAGTACATATTAGGATGCCACTACGATAAGCTCTGTGTGATAGCTCAGAGCTCTGGAAGGCACTACAGAGTAGGACCAGGGTATTCTGACCCGGGAGAATGTTCTAGAATCTCCACCATTGTCTTTACTGCTCTTGTCAATGCTTCTTTATGATACTGCCTTTGAATGTGTACTGGCGGTCTGTCTGGCATTGCCACCGTTCTACCTGCGTTGTGGTTACTTGGTTAAGTTTCGAATACAATTGTTAATTATATCATACTGGTTTGTGGCTTATTGGTTTCACATCGTGTTCTTTTACAGGCTTATGGCAAGCGTATTTTTATTAAA